TGCTCCCACTTCCTGAATCCACCATATCAACAGCAGAGCGCCAGCTGCAGTCTCAGCTGGTGTTTAAAGGGGACAGGAGATGTTTCACCCAGAACACACCTGTAACAGCCACAATGTGAGAATTTAAGTTAATTTAAATATTATGCATAATTCATAATTTTATGTAATGTAATGTATATAAGAGATCAATAATGTGAAAAGGTTAAAAACAAACTCATGTTGATTGTATAATACATATGCCCCCTTCCACAAAACTTGCCTATGGCACCTTTAATTTAGGGAGTCATGTGCGCAGTAGAGTGAAGACAGAGCTGCAGCAGGCACGGGAGCATATAGTTTTTCTATCGTGTGACAGACTGTAATTTGAATTTTATTTTTTCATTGAACATTTTTAAACTGGATAACATCTCCTGTCGTTCACATCAGATTGAAGTTACTGTGCCTACAGCTCGTGAAGTGGCTTTTTTGACGTCCAGAAAGAACGCCACTACAACACCTGTGGTTTGTTAAGGAACTAAACAGAACCCTGACTCTGACTCTAGACCCTGACCCACAGATCCTGTTCCAGCAGAACCTGAGAGTCCACCATGTCACAAACTCTTGAAAGAATTGTATCCATCCAACTTCACAACCATCTTAAATCAAACAGTCTGTATGAAAAATTCCAATCTGGTTTTCGTCCCTCCCACAGCACCGAGACAGCTCTCATCAGAGTCACCAATGACCTCCTGATGACCTCTGACTCCGGCTCCACTTCCCTCCTCATCCTTCTCGACCTCTCTGCTGCTTTTGATACTGTTGATCACCACATCCTCCTTCACCGCCTCCAACACGACATCGGTATCTCTGGCACCGCCCTTCAATGGTTTCACTCTTACCTCACGGGAAGGACCGAGTTCGTAGCCCTGGGGGATGCTAAATCCCACCCCCACTCTGTTGTCTGTGGGGTCCCCCAGGGCTCTGTGCTCGGTCCAACCCTCTTCACCATCTACATGCTCCCCCTTGGTCGTGTCGTCAGCAGGCATGGAATACAATTCCATTGCTATGCTGACGACACACAACTCTACCTCAAGGTCACCCCCTCCTCCACTTCCTCCTCCTCTGTCACTCAACTGGACTCCTGCCTGGAGGAGATAAAGGCTTGGATGAGTGAAAACTTCTTACAGCTGAACAGCTCCAAAACGGAAGCCATTCATATCGGCACCCCTCACCAGCTCCGTTCTTCCCACATTTCCTCCGTCTCTTTTCTCGGCCACAACTTTTCCCTCTCTCCTTCCGTGACTAATTTGGGAGTCAGGTTTGACCCCCATCTTAGCTTTGACGATCATATCAACCATATCTGCAAGACTTCCTTCTTTCACCTCCGTAATATCGCCAAACTCCGGCCATCTCTCTCTCGTCCTGCAGCAGAGAGGCTCGTCCATGCCTTTGTCTCCTCCAGGCTGGACTACTGTAACGCGCTCTTCATCGGGATCCCGGGCAAGAGCCTACAAAGGCTCCAATATGTCCAAAACAGC